GGGGTTGACAGAGGAGTTAATAAAAGTTCTCGATGAACACCGAGATGTTTTCGCCAAGGATCTACCAGCAGGAGTACCTCCGGTACGAAAAGGTCATGAATTTCATATTGACCTTGAGGCAGGAGCTGAACCTGTGAGTAGACCTTTGTACAAGCTAAGTCCACTTGAGCTTGAGGAAGTAAAGCGTCAGTTGGACTATTTGTTGAGCATGGGCTTTGCAAAGCCGTCCGAGAGTCCTTGGGGTGCACCAATTTTATTCGCACCAAAGAAGGATGGAGGACTCCGCATGTGTTTGGACTACAGGTGGCTAAATAAATTGACCAAGAAGAATAAGTATCCATTGCCATTACCTGATGAACTGATGGACAGATTGCATGGTGCAAAAATCTTTTCGAAAATCGACTTGAGAAGTGGTTATTGGCAAATGCCTATCCGGCCAGAGGACACAAGCAAAACTGCTTTCAAATGTCGATACGGGCATTACGAGTTCCTTGTTTGTCCGTTTGGAGTGACAAATGCACCTCCACAGTTCCAGGCTATGGTGAATGATTTGTTTGCGGATATGCTCGATGATTTTGTGATTGTATTCTTGGACGACCTGATCGTATACTCCAAGAACATTGAGGATCATGCCATCTCAGTAGAGTGTTGGCAAGACTCAGGGAGCACAAGTTGTTTGCAAAGGCGTCCAAGACAGAGATTGCAGTGACTGGTACAGACTTCGTGGGACATTGAATCAGTGCCAATGGGATATACCCATTACCGGTGAAGACCAAGGCAATTCTCAACTGGAAACCCCTGGAGAATGTGACTGACGTACGCAGCTTTTTATGGATGACCAGTTTCTACAGAAGGTATGTTCACCGCTATGCTCATCTTGCAGCACCTCTGTATGAGTTGACTGTCAAGGATGCTGAGTGGCAATTTGGTCCAAGACAGCAAAAGCTTTTGAATGTTTGAAGTCTGCATTGACCAGTTCTCCAGTGTTGATCCTACCTGATCCAGAGAAGCCATATGTAGTAGTGACCGATGCGATGGATACAGCCGTGGGAGGTACACTTATGCAGGACCACGGCAAGGGTCTTCAGCCAGTAGCTTTTCTATCGAGACGACTGCGTCCCAGTGAAGTCAAGTACTACCCGTATGACAAGGAAATGTGTGCGATGGCTTATTGTTTGCGCAAGTGGAGACATTATCTAGAAGGGAGTGTAGCAGGAGTGACAGTGATGACCGATCAGTCACCAGCAACGACGTTCATGAATCAGGCCAATTTGTCCAGAACACAGACTAGATGGTTGAAGCAAGGATACTTCGAGTCGATCATGCCAACCATCAAGTATATTCCGGGCAAGGCGAATGTGGTTGCAGATACAATTTCACGAAGCTTACCTCCTTTGGTGGACACAGCAGTGCAGGCACAGGTCAACAGTGTGGTGACCTCGTGTTTGAGTGATGAGGAGAGAACACAGTGGATTCAAGCACTGCATGATGATGTTTTTACGCAAGCAAAGTTGAAGCTATTGCAAGACGAGAGAACAATGCGTGATTTTACTGTGGATTCAGCTGGTCTCTTGTACTTTGAGCCTGGTCAGCAATCGCGTTGACTTGTGGTTCCAGCCAGAGAGAGGCAACGTGTTATGGCGGAGCACCACGATGCCAAAATTGCTGGACATTGTGGGATAGAGCGGACAAGAGAGCTGATTCAAAGAGACTTTTGGTGGAGAGGTATGAGGCAGGATATCGCCCATTATGTGAGAACTTGCCCTGTATGTCAAGTAATGAAATCAGAGAATAGGGCCAAGAAAGGCTTGCGACAAGCAATCCCTCTACCTACACAGAAATTTGAACAGTTGACTACTGATCTTGTGACAGATTTACCTGAGTCCAAGGGCTACACTGCAGTGGCTGTGTTTGTCGACAGACTGACCAAGTTTGTGAAATTTATTCCGTGCCGGAAGGAATTGACGGCAGAAGGTTATGCTGAATTGTTTTTGCAACACATCTTCAGGCAGTTTGGAGTGCCAAGAATTATCATCTCTGATCGTGACCCAAGATTCTTGAGCAATTTCTGGCAGGAGTTGTTTCGTTTGCTTGAGACGCGCCTCAATATGTCCACAGCATTTCATCCAGAAACTGATGGACAGAGCGAAGTTTCGATAAGAACCATGGAGAATTTTCTTCGTCCATACATTGAGGCACATCCAGAGCATTGGGTTGATCAGCTTCCATTGGCAGAATTTGCTGCAAACAACAGTATGAATCTTGCAACAGGATACAGTCCATTCTACCTTCTGTACGGTCAGAATCCTGAGGTACCTGCGAGTTTGTTTACCTCACGTCAGCAGGCAACGAATATTGAGTCAGTTGAGACTATGTTGAAGCGGATGCATACAGCTATCAGTGATGCTAGTACTAGTTACAAGCATGCTCAGGATCAGATGATCAAGACAGTCAACAAGCGAAGGAGGGATGTACAATTCAAAGTGGGTGATGAAGTAGTCATCAGGACATCCTTTTTGCCCGAACAGGCTTTTGCTCAGATTCCGCCCAAGATTCGACGTCGATTTGTAGGACCGTTCAGAATAGTGAAGGTCATCAGTCCGGTGGCGTACACTGTTGATTTGCCAGCCACATGGCGCGTGCATCGTACATTCCATGTGGAGAAGCTAAAGCTTTTTGAGAGGAGTTCAGAGTTTCAGCGGAATGTCGATTCACCCCCTCCACTGGAGATAGAGGGGCACCTTGAGTACGAGGTTGAGGCTATCATCCGGCACAAAGGTACAGAAGCGAGGAAGCGTTACCTTGTGGCCTGGAAGGACTGCCCACTGCATGAGGCTACGTGGGAGCCTGAGTCCAACCTTACTCATTGCAGCGATCTCCTTTCAGAGTACTTGCAGCGTCAACAAGCAGTAGCACAGAAGAACACTCGAAGTCGAAGGAAATCAACGAGACGTTAGTGATGGGCCTGCATGGAGTTTGGTGCAGTTGTTTTTGAGCATGATATGGGACACTTGGAGTGCTATGGGACACTCTGAATATCTTGCTTGATGGCAATTGTTGGTATGCTGGCCTCTGTGGTTTCGCCTTTGATTTCAGTAGTGTCGTGCTTGTGTTTGCAGACAAACACTTTGCCCTGGGGGGAGAATTGATGCCGGTGGCACCACTCACATTGGCTGGTAGTACATTAAATTAGTTGTACATTAATATTTGTACATTATATATTTCATTATACGCTGATTGACAGGTTAAGTGTGCGCGGAGCACACTCTGTAACGTCTCTCGTTGGGTTTCGCGCTCTCTCGCACGCAGCCCGCGCATGGTCCTCGCTAGGACCCGCATCATGGAGTGCCCAGGGGCGGTACACGGCCTCGGGCTTGTAGTCAGGGTTCCAGTCCGGCTTTTCCCCAGGTCCAGGCAGATGTCCTGATGTCAATTGCGTTGACACGGTGCGGCAGTACGCCTCGCGCGCCTCCTCTTGCAGCCGATACCTCAGAGAGTCTTCCCCATGATCTCGCTGGTGATGTAGCCACGGCGCGTCCTCGTCGCTGAACGGCAATACTACCGTAAGCCCAAAACACCAGTAGCCTGGAGGGCAGTCAGACTTCTCGAGGTACCACCTCGAGAGCCAGAGGTCGCCGAAAGCGAGCCACTGGGCGATCAAAAAGCGCCAGCTTTCGACCTGGCGGAATCGCGTCGCCGTCATGGCTGCCGGGAAACCGCCAACCAGCTGCTGGGCAGTGAGACTGGGAGGCAGGGCTCGCGGTGCAGGATGGTCAGAATGCAGGGAAGCGCTGCTGTGCGCTTTTGCCGTTTTGGGGTCTTGGACGGTGTTTGGATGTCGGACTGGTCGCTTGACGGCTTGTGGGCATGTGAGAGGATGTCGTTATCCCATGCTGGGCGTCAAAGTCGGACGGGACCTTGCATGTGGATGCGTAGTTGGTCATGAAGGGTAGTGACACTGTTCATTGGAACTGGTTCCGGAATTCTGATTGCTGAGCGGCTTGATCTTGTACAGTTCTGGTCGGATTGTCGCTTCTTGAGCGCTTCTCATGCTGCCGCTGTCTTCAGATGTAATATGCTTTTGAGGATGTAACTAATGGTGGTCAGTCGATGCTGCTGGCAATATTGCCGGTAGATGCTGGGAAAATGAAGTTGATGGAGACATTTGCCATGTCATTTATGGCCTGGAAATGACCAACTTTAACACCCGCCAATCACAGGACGGTGCGCCCAGGTTAATGGGAGAACCGTGCGTGGCCGGCGGGCGCGAACGCGGGTGTCCGCACATGTCGGGGCCGAAACTTGTCATCGATTTTTCCAGTCGCAGTCCCGACACTATCCGCGCCATCAAAACGAGCCCACCCGTGCGTCCGTCCCCGGCGCAGGGACGCCCAGCGGCGCAAAGCCCCACGTCGGCACGACCGAGGTGCGAGGACAAGGAATTCGCGCGGCCATTGGGCCGAGGGGCGAACGCCGCCAACCATTACCAAAGCTCGCCGCCCCGTAAGCTGACTCATCCACTAATTGGGACACTGCCTGGCGCCCCGCGCTCCGCGTGGCCCCCTTTTTGCGTTCGACCCACAGATTGATGAATGGGGCCCGCCGCCTGGGTGGGCCGGGTGCGAGGGCGAGCCGCCGAAGGCCCCCTCGATTGACGCACCAGCCCCCCTCTACAACGCGCCAGCCCACCCGCGTTGCACCGCGCCTCCGGGCGGGCCCCACCAGCCCGACCGCCGACACAGGGGCCCTCGTATGGCCGCCCCGCGCCGCAGTACTTGGGCCCCACAGCACCCAACTGGGCCTGACCCCCCCCCATCAGCCCGGTGTGGTACACCGCGTGGAAGAAAACTGCGTTGCGTCAAGAAATTCACGGGCGCTGCCGTGGCACTGCCAGGAGGCCGCCCCCCCTCGCCGCGCAAAACCGAAGTCCCCCCACCCCCCCTGCGTGCCCGGGGCGGGGCTCCTCGACTTGGCCAAAAAGGCCGGGCTGGGATTCGGGCATGGCGGCGACGTGGGCCCGCAGGGGCCCGCAGGGGAAACAGTACAATGTGAGCGTTCGGGACGCGGCGAACTGGCTGCGGGACTATCTGACCGCCATCAGGCACGGCCAGTTCCACCCGTTCACGCCGATCGAGAGGAAGGCGCGGGAGGCCACGAGGAACGAGGCGTGGTAAGGGTGGGGGTGGGGGTGGGGTGGGGTGGGGGGCGGGGGCGAAGGGGGCGGGGGGGACCCTTGTTCCGACATTTGGAATATGGTACCCAAGGGCGTGGGGAATGCTGGACTGTGGTTGCACGGGCTGGGCCGGGCGCTGGGCCAGCGGGTGGGTTGGCCGGCGGGATCGAGCCGCATTGCGGTGGGATGGGGTGGTGGATGGGTCCGGAGCGGGCCTTGTGCAAGAATCGGGGGCGGGAGATTTGAGCAAGGCGGGGGAGGGCGGTGCCGCCGCTGCTGCAGCCGCTACCGCGACGCGGCCGGCTGGCAGCGCGCGGGTCGGTCGGCGGGACTCACGGGGGTGCTCGGTTGCGCCGCAGGGGCCCGACGGGGACGGTGCTGCACGAGCTGGCGGAGGCGACTATGCAGTCGGAGTATTGCCAAATTATCTACGTGAGTTGCGGCCCCCGCCCCACTTCGCGGCGGCGCACATTGGCTGCGGCGCAGTCGCAGGGTGGGGGGGGGCATCGCCGTGTGCTGCACGCTCGCTGCTTCGCGGAACGCGACCCCGCGAAAATCGTCGCCCCCACCGGCCCATCTCGTTCAGGTCTCTCGCGGACTTCTTGGCGCCCAGTGACAGTCAATGGCGCGAGACGCCGCGCTGTCCCGTTTCCTGCGCCCTGGCGGATCCTCCCGAGGATGGGCGCTTGGCCGGCCGCCCCTGCCAGGAGCGAGTTGCCGCCGTCGCGACTGCGGCAAGAGAGGCGATTTGCCGGGGCTTGTGCGACTGCGGCCGTTGGGCGACGCTCATGCCGCTCGGCACTGCCCCCCGAATCGCCGCCTGTGGCGCGGCCGTGGCTGATTCGCGGCTGTGCGCCGGGTGCAGGCGGTGGTGGAGGCGAGGCTGAAGTATCCTGCGGACAAATGGCGGAACGTGTACAAGGTGAGGCCCGGCCGTCCGCGCGTACGCCGTGGGGGCCTGTCGCGCTCGCGCCCCGTTTTGCGTCGCGTCGCCTCTTTGTTCCCTTTGCCCTTGTTTCCATTGCTCCTGGTGTTCGGTGCCTGCCGTCGCCTTGCGCAGTGTCAACCGGGCAAGGCGGTTGCCCGTCTTGAAGCAACAAGTCGTTTTGCACGTTTGCCACTTACCGTCTTGGTGGGGAAACAAACGCGGACGGTGATGGTTGAGGTCCTTTTCTGTCTCAGTCACTGAGTTTCAAGCGAGCATTGCTGCGATTCTGCTACCAAACTTTCAGTGGTATGAGTGTGCTGTGCATTGTGCAACTGTTGAGATGCACGGCCGGTCGAGGCAGGGACGTGGCACGGCGTCCAACAACTTTCCCTGCCCCTCTACTTGTGTGTTGGGTTTTCGTGTTTCTTGTGTTGTGCATTCTTTTGGTAAAGTGAGAAGCGTGTCAAGCAATGGAATTACCAAAATGCAAGAATATTTGTGAGACTCCTCGAATGCTGTATGTTGATGTTGAATTGCTACATGCCTGTCTTCATTAATTGGCATGCTTTGCGCTTTGCATACTGATGCACACTGTTCTTGCTGTTAGCCGATGCTCCTTGTGCTATTGGCGACAAGGCATCGCTGTTGGACAGACATATTTGCCAGGCCATTTGTAGGGTCTCCTGGTGCCAAACGGAAGAGCCTGGTTTTGACCTAAATCTTCCAGGTGTCAGAAGATCGACTGCCTTATTTAAATATACTCAAGTAGTTGATTGCAATTGACCCCCATGTGATGCCCATACCAGGGTCTACAAGTGCTGGAGTTTCTGATCAAGCGTGGCAGCGATGAGTGCGTCATGATCGCGCAAGCAGACCTCAGGCCATACGTCGAGAATGTCAGGAACCTTGAGTACATCGGGCCTGATGGCAGGGACTACGGAATAAACGTCCGTGTCAGGTGGGGCGTTGCCATCGCCTGCGGGGGTCACTGATATTCCTTGCCTTGCTCACCAAGATGTGATAGCTAGCTTCTCCTAGGTGGCTGTGTAACAACGTTGGCTGTTGTCTGGCGTGCTCATCCTGCCTCACTGTCTGCTTGGTTGTCATATTCTCTTCAATTTGCTTGCAGTCTGTCCCTCACCTTTGTTTCTTACTTTTCATCCTGCTTTCTTGTGTTGTGTGCTTCCACTTTTTGGTGGCCTGGCAAGGAGATCATTGCTGTGCATCTTTATATGCTGTTGCCTGCCGGTCACAGGGCTGATGCAATCGTGAGGCTGCTTGACAACGATCAGGAGCTGAAACATGAGCGAGCCCAGCTCCGACGGCGAGCACAGCAGTTCAGAGGGTATTCAAAACAAGAGATGGAAAACCACGAGGGCTTTGGTGACCTTCCCCCTCGCTCCAACAGCTGGGTGAGTGTGGCCTGCACATCGCGGCAGTTGCTGTTTCTGTCGGCCCAAATTGCGGAGGGGGATCAATGGCTGAGAGGAGCTGAAATACCTTGCATACTCTGTGCAGAAACCCTAAAGTAAGTTCATATGTCAAGTATTGGGTTTGGCTTGGAAGCAACAAGCGTGTTTTGAGTCAGGACTGCAGCGGTGTCGATTGTGTCCGACAACTGTATTCTTGGCAGTTGCATCCCATGTGGCTTCGATTGGTGCCTGTAGAGTGCTCTGTTTTGAGCCCTTGCGGGCGGGTCCTGAACAGGCTGGGAGGACACAGAACACTGAAGGGACCGGACGCGAGGCGTGTAATTCCAACGATGAGCGCCAGGTTGCCAGGAGCAGGCGTCCAGGCGAGATGAAGGGTGTGTCTGAGTCAGAAAACAAGAAACAGCTCCGCCAGCTAAAGCAGCTGCTGTCCAGCAAGAGCAACCGGCGGTGCTCCGATTGCCTGGGTGAGGACCACCCAAGCTGGGCAAGTATCAACTGCGGCGTGTTCCTGTGCATGAAGTGTGCAGGGATCCACAGAGGCTTGGGCGTGCATGTGTCACAGGTGAAGATTGTTGGCAAAAGGGGCTATGGGGCATTCAGTGTGTAAATCCTTTCTGTACAGGGACTGTGCGAAGCTCTTTACTGTTCTGAAGCAGGTGGCACAGTTGCTGTAGTCCTTTGCATGCAGTTTGAGTTTCTCTTTCCAGACCTGGGGCAAGTGCTGCCAGCAGCCTGATATGGTGCATGGTGCCCTGCCACAAAGTGTTGTTCCTTGTGCACTTGTTTAGAGTCCCTGCTTGCAGCTTGGCTTCAGGCACTGGACTGGATTCACAGCCTCGGAGTGGTCCCAAAACTGCCATGGGCTTCACTTTCGTCCCTTAAGGACAACGATTTGTGGCATGCGACTTGACGCAGCATCCCAACATGTGGAGCATTGTCAATGGGAGCAGCACGAGGACAAGTTGGACCTTCAGACTGTTATTTGGGTGGCAGTATACTGTAGCCACGAACGCTGCCTTCGTTTCTCGGTGCAACTGTGGATTATCGAAATGAAACTGCTGCTACTGTGCAGGTCCGATCCTGCACTTTGGACACCTGGCTGCCAGAGCAAGTTAAATTCATGATGCAAACAGGGAACCGTGTAGCAAACAGCTACTGGGAGGTGAGCCAGGACGAGCACACTTCATGCTGGTGCACTGTGCACAACATGGCACCTGTGTGGCATGCGCCCTGCAGCATTCATGGGTCTGCAGCTGTGGAGGATTTGCCTGGATTCTAGGCTTCTACTCTCTGCTGCTATTGTAGTCTGATTTTTATCATACAACTGTTGCTTCTATGGAGCAAATTTTGCTATATTCTGCTGAGGTTGACCCTTGCAGGTTGAGGGAACATGACCCCACCCAGAATTGCATGCCCACTACCATTGTTGGACAAGTATAATCACTTACAGCTTGAATTGGTGTCATACTTACATGGCCATGCCTCTGTATAGAACAGAGAATGAATTGCTGCTAGTGACTGTTGTGGCCTTATGCTCCCTGTTGTTGTAGCTTGCTGCCAGAGTTTGGTTGGGGATGGCCCAGCAACCTGGTCATCCCTATCTCAAGATCTGATTTGCATCAGTACTTGAATGCTGCATCTGGCCATGTCCGCCATTGCCACCTTGTTCCAGGCATGTCTGGAAATGTCTTGTGAGAGTAACACACGGGAGGGAGGTGCCAGTACAGTGATTAGAGTTTGCTGGTATAAACCACAGTGATTGCTGCAAGATTTCCAGTACAGCTCACTGCCGTTCAACCTGACAAACTACCCAGTCGACGATGTTGTGTATACTGGCAGTTCATTGTTGCTAGGCGACATGTGCCTGTGCCGTAAAGCTGGCTACGAAACCTGGGATTGCTAGGCTACATGTGCCTGTGCTGTAAACTTGTTTGCAAGTCTGGTGAGCATTCAAACAGCTATACGCACCCCCCAGACGCTAAGCATGAGAGTGGGGCATGAGTTGTTGGAGATTGAGGCGTGAGTGCCAGTGTTGCTGTGTTGCGTGGGGTGTGAGTGGACCTTGCTCAAGGGACATTTTGCACCCTTGCCGCACGGATTCAGAAGCTCGATGTGCCCTTTGCTGGTATATTCTGGCTGGATTTGGAGCTGAAGCAAGCTGGAATGTGAGGCTCCTCACAAACCTGACCAGTCAGTCTCTGTACTCTGCTTTGTTCTGTGGTGTGGCTGTGTGGTGCTGAGGTGTTGTGTACAGGCGCCAGCAGGGGGGCCGCAAGTGCAGGAGCCACAGGCGTTTGCTGTTAGCTTGAAGAATATGATGACTCTTGATGCTACTTTCTGGGAAAAAGTCAAACCCCAGTGTATGGCTGGCTCGAAAGCAATATTTCTCTCGGCCAGTTGGCACTTTCAGTAATAAGTTACAGTATTTATATTAATTGAATTAGTTAGTGATATCTATAATGTGTTCATGTATGTCACTGTATGTTTGATAGCAAAATCAAATAATGAACACATAATGATGTATTATTACATACATACACACACATATATATGGGATATTTGGAATTAAATATAAATAAATAAATAAATATAAATAAATAAATAAATATATATATATATATATATCATGTATTATGTATTATGTATTATGCATGTGTTGATTATTTAATTCTTATTTGATTAGCGTAAAATGTGTTGATAGTGAAATGGTCACCCTGCAGGCGAAGTTGCCCCCGAATCTGAAGCCTGGACCGGACGACCCAAACTTGGGAAAGTTCATCAGGAGGAAGTACGAGAACAGGGAGTGGGCCGACGGTCCCTGGCCACCGGCGAGAGACGCTCTCCAAAACGAGAATGTCAGGCCTGAACCATCGGGCACTTCAGACACATCTGTGACATCAAAGTCTTCCCTTCGCATCGCAAAGCACCCATCGATGAGGTCGACAAAGCCCCCTCGGGGACGGTCCAAACAAGGGCGACGACCTGCGGACTCCCAATTCACGGAGTCCGCAGACTCAGATGCCACAGCTGGAGGCCACAGCGATTGGGTGAGGCCTGGCATTGGTGCTATTTATTCCATTTTCTGTGATGCCAGGCTTTGGTGCTATCTGTCTCGTATTCTGTGTATATACAGCGAATAGAGCGAATAGAATACAGTGAATGGGCCTGTTCAGTGCTGCATTGGGCTTTGTGAATATCTGCAAGCCTGCTTTACAGGTGCTGTGCAGGTGCTGTGAGCATTGTACTTTGAGCACGACACAACTCTTGTGTGAGGTAACTATTACTGTGCTTTGCTTGGTGCCCACCGAAAAGGTCAGTCCTCATTCAAAAGGCCACCACCACATGTTAGCTGCTGGCAATCTCTCTCATCTTCTGGACTTGAGTTTGTGCCCACATGGCCAGGTGCAACTGGCCACCCTCTCCCACACATATTGTTCCTGACTCAGTGGCTCCTGCCACACACTGTTTGCAGCTCGTTTGCAGCATTGCTTCCATTGCACCTCTTTGAGTACTGCTCTTCAATAAGTTCATTGGTTCCCTGGTTCCATTCCAGGTATCCAGCCCTGCGTCCGATCAACATGGGATGCGCCCTGCCTCTGCAACTCCACAGATGCCACTAGCATCTGTTGCCATGAACTCCCACCAGCTCCAAGGACAAGGGATCCCCCGCACCAGCTCATTTCCAGATGAGGACCTTGTGCGCTTCAGCAACAGCGGCGATGGTGACTTCTGTTCCACGCGTACCCAGGATAACCAATATCAGCGACAGGGCGGCCAAGAAAGGAGGGTGCAAATGTTGGATATGCTTTATGACACAAGGTTTGGCGAAGGGTGTGCATGAATTGTATATGCTTGCATTGCTCTTCCCTAATTGGAGAATTGTGATAGTGTTATATTGCGAGCTGAACTGTCAAGCTGTTGAGCTGTGCTGATACCGCCAATCTTGTTTTCAGATTAGTGTGCCCACAATGGGGACCGACATCTGTGCAGTCACCGAAAACCAAAGCCAGTTCCTTGGTCCAGAACCCGGGGGCTCCTGAAACACTGTCACAGAAAGAAAACAAGAAAGGTGTCAAGGACTACAGCCCCAACGAGGTCCAAGAAACAGTGTGTGTGAACGTTCCTGTGCTTGGCGTTGAAGTTTGTGGATTTCATTGGCCCACACTTATCAGCACGAGTCCCTTGCATCCAAGGCGATGTCAGGCATGCATGTGACGCCTGACGGGTGTTTGTGGCGATTGTGCAGGGGCTCAAGGCAGCAGGGTTTCACCAGAGACACGGACGGTGTGATCAAGACCACTGAACTTGAATGCGACGATGATGAGGAAGAGGCCGTGATCCACACTACTGAACTCAACTTGGACGACCTCGATGCCGGTCCGGCGAGGCCAGCTTTGGCAAGCGCCGATGGCATCTTGCAGTCTGGTGGCATGGCCGAGTACTCTTCGATTCCTTGGTTGGATGGCATGCAGGAGATGAAGGGTTCCCCTTGCGACAGGCCCCTACAAGCATCAGGGATAAGTGCTGGCCAGAAGAGGGATGAGCGCAGGGGCTCGGGGGGGCGCAGGTCGGCCACTCCAGATTCGCAAGGACCGCATGTGTCTGTGACGATCAAGTTCGGCAATGGCCTGGGGGCCGTTGGTGCGCCTTCTGGCTCGCAAGCCCACCCACAGACCGTTACCCTTCCAGGATATGCCCACAACAGCATGGGCTGTGCAAGGCCGTCTGCGCCAGTTTACCAGCAGGATCGACCCCATTCTCGGTGTTCTGCTGCATCAGCTGGTGCCAGCCGAGACCCACCAGATGATACGTCGTCCAGAGGCCGCAATGTGGAAGAACCTGCCCTCGCGTCGTGGGACTCCCAGCATGGTGCCCTCAGCGCAGTGCGCCCGCACTCCAACAACCCTTTCGCAGATCCTGCTTCATCTGAGGCCCCTTATCTGAGCAGGGTGGCAGAAATGTGGGCGACTGCATCTGCGCCCGGGGGCTCTCCAACTGCACATTCTCCTGCCTGCGGATCTGTAAACCAACACTTTGGTTTGCAACGGCGGGGCAGCGTTCATGGCGTTGTGATGGGCGTGCCCACTGGCAAGAGGAGGGAAGATGGGGAGTATGTTGCGGATCGGAGCCTGGGCGTGCAGTCTTCGCAGAGCCCAGGGCGCCCTCACCGCACAGGGGAGCGTGCCCAGAGCAGCGCCCCTGGGGGGGTGCCCTTTGCCTGGAGCTCTGGCTCTGGGTTCAAACAGGGGGGACCTGCGCATCGCAATGTGAGGCGGACAGCGGGCGCAGAGGGGTCAAGCAGCGATGCTTCTGAGGAGGTGGAGCGCATGCAGTACTCACAGGTGGAGATGCTGGGGCTGCAGGGTGAGAAATACAGGGCCAGGGGCTCCGGGGCCTACCATTCTTCCCAGAGGAGGTTGGCAGAGATGAAGGGGCACAGGGTCGGGACCAGCAGCGGGTCAGGCTCGGGATGACGGCGGCGCCTTCGCAATTGTGTGTCACTTTGCCCCGTGCGGCAAAATTTTTTGGGGTTGAAGAGATCAGGTGCTGTGTTAAATAAACGTTGGAGAGATCTGCGAATTGTGAGCGGATGAGTGTGTTCATGGTAGGTGCACGTGTTTGCGCCGCTACGCGACATTCGCGCTTGGGGCGTCCGTATCCATTTTGAATGTTGTTCGTTGGGGTCGATTGGGGCTGGGTTGCTGCAGAGGGTAGCAGTGAGGCGGGGAGGAAATTTATACACAGGGGAGTGTTGTGCACTTGGGCCGTGGATTTCAACGTTGCGTGGTGTGGGTTTAAACGTTGGACGGCAAGGGTAGCCGCAGATCGGCCAAATTGCACGAGCGAACTGGATGGTTGGTGGATGCGACTGGGGTGCGCATCTCTGGCATTCATGCCCATAGTGTTCAGACAATTGTAACTGCTTAAAATGAGAATGTTTGTCCTGGAGAAGTCTGCCCAACGCCCCGTCGTACAATTTGTGAACGAACCACGGCTGATGCTGTTCGCGGTGCGGGCCAAGGACTGCTCGGTGCGCAAGTCAATGCTGGGCAATGCGTGTTGTGTTGAGAACGGCGTTCGTGAATGGGCTCAATTCGCCTCCGAGGATGAGGGGACTTTTGTACGGTGTGGCTGATGCCGTTGGGGGCTGTCGCTGGGCAGCTTGCATTTGGCAGCTCTGCCTTTGGCGCTGAGCCAAAACTACACTTCAGCGGAGGGAGAGCTTGCAGACTCGTGCTAAACCGGTGCAGCCGAGTTTTGCTGCTGTCTGAACGAGGGCATTCCGCGTGATCTCAAATTCCTCAAGCACTTATCTGACTTGTTTGATTCCTGGTATAATGGTTTTGAGAAACGAATGAGAAGCGCGCAGACGCCTTGTAACGAAGGTGGGGGAGTGTAACGAGTATGAGCCTGCTGGGAGAAGTGAAGCACTGTGAATTGTCTGTTGTCTTGTGTCAAGAAACAGACATGTCTCCAGCGTACAAAAAGACAGACTCCATGTGAGCCGTGAGCTATGCAACCTGTGAGGGTGACGGGCATTGTGCATAATCTCTTCAGTTCCCTTCCTGGTTGATTTCTCCTACTGGGTGGCCCACCGTGTCGATTTTGGCATGCCTGACGTCAAATTGATGCAGGTAAGCGGGGACTCGCGACGCTAAGAAATTATGCAATTGCCTTAGTATCGACACAATCGAGAAAGTGGCCCAAAACCGCCGTTGATGGGCCACAATCAAATGACGACTTGTTTGATACCTCCCTCAAAACGTTGAACCTTCGTCGAGCCCTTCCCCCCCCCCCCAAAAAGAACAAGGCCCAATTGACAACGTCCATTGCTCCAGGCCATTGATCTATCGTCCAATTGTCAACGAAAACGAGAACGGCAACCGACAGTCCCCATGAATGGCCAGGCTTGTGAGGCACTATTCCTGCCACGGCCAATCGCACACCATAATGTGAATTCTGAGTACGGAGGGGCCGTGGATGACTGGTTATGCTGGAGCGCAACGCTCTTCTGTTGGTTGTGCGCAGTAGTGCGCATCAAAAAGCAGCTAATCCAAAAAGTGTGCCATGGATCGCCCAGGTAGGTCCAGAGCCAATGCGCCTGGGTGTGCCGCTCGCCCTTGAGTTACTGACCGAGTTACTGACCGGCTTTGTCGGTTGGCCGAGGCCACGCCTCCCTTGGGAGTGGCAGCGACGGGGGACGGCACTTCTTGTTCTGTACTGAAGTGTTGCGTCGCGCTGTTGCATAGTGTTTTGCTGACTCATGCCGACATCGACATAAGGTTTGATGCCTTTCGGGGAGAGAATGTTTGGAGGGGGTTTGCAGAGTTTGAACTTAGCGTGAATATTGATTGTTAAAGTCAAATTGCGCCCACAAAGGTATTCAAATGCCGAAATATGCTCAATAAAAGTTTCGAAACTCAGAACTAGTTAATATGCCGTCAAAACTTGGCATCGAGTCACCCCAAAGCAACCCACCTGTCGATGGGGCCACCCGCCTCTTGTCCATCGCTTCTCTTCTGCATTCTCCATGCTTTGGCTCACCTGAAAGATCGTCGGGGTCACAAAACAACGTGCTGTTCAAACGCATCCAGCCCCGCCCCCCCATTGAAATAATATTACTGACTGCACCAAATCGGTGAGACTGCTTGCACTAAATCACGTGCACACTATGTCCTAGCCTCAGTTTTAGGGTTAGTTTTAGTTTTAGGGTAAGTTTTAAGGCTAGGGTTAGGGTTAGGGCAGGTTTAGCTTTAGGTTTAAGGGTGTAGGTTTCAATTTGGGTAAGTTTTGGAGGGAGTTGGTGCAAGCAGTCACCGATTTAGTGCAGAAAGTCACCGATTTGGTGCAGCCAGTAATTGTATGCCCCCTCCACGTCAGGACATACCAAACGGCCCCTAAGGTTTCCCCCACCCTCAAAGTTGAAGATTTTTTTCACACGGCACTGCCAGTACATTGGCCAGCTGTCCCAGCACACACGACTGCGGGCCCTTGCAGTACATTGGCCGCCCAACTCGCACAACAGCGGTGCGCACCCCCAGTACATTGACCATGTACCCACGCCCAGTAAAGCCCTTCACTATAGCAGGCCCAGTGCTGGGAGACCTTCGTGCCAGCCACACAACCTTGGCCCCCCTTGTACGCGCCTGCCCGCCCCGTCCCACCACTCTCCGCTGTACCGCCTTGGTAAGCCACCAGCGCAGCCGGGCCCCGCCTCGCGCTTCGGCCTTCCTCGACAACCCCCTCCCCTCCCTTTCCACGACGTCGGGGGCGCCCAAGCGCCCCCCGCCCTCGGGCGTGGCTGGCAACACGGAGGGCACGCCGCGAAGGCGTGTCCGCAACCGGAGCTCTAGCGGGTGGGTTAGTTCGTTTGTGCGACTGAAAGCGTGGCGCGTGCAGGAATCCCTCGCTGGAGGCCCGCCGCACCTTTGCTGTTTGTTTTGAGGCTCGGAGATTGGATTGGCCGTTTGTGGGAGGGCGTGCCGCGCAGGCGCGTGCGCAATCGGCGCTCCAGCGGGTGGGTTGATTCGTTGTTTTGGCCGCCGGAAAACGGGTCCCGTTCAAGAATTGTGGACGGTCGCCACGCCTTTGTTGTTTTTGCTGAGGTTCGGAGATCGAATCTGTCGTTTGTGGGAGGGCACTGCGCGCAAGCGTGTCTGCAATCGCATCTCCAGCGGGTGGATCGGTTCACATGCTCGGTCCGCTTTTGGGAACCGCGTCCCGTGAGCGCATCGCCTGCGGGACGCACGCCGCACCTCTGCTGTTGTGTCTGAGGCTCGGAGATCCGATCGGCCGTTTGCGGGAGGGCGTGCCGCGCAAGCGTGCGCGCAATCGGAGCTCAAGCGGGTGGATGGGTTTAATTGCGCTGACCCTTTCAGGGTGGGGCGGAACGCGCGTTGCGCCAACGCATTCGCTGCGGGACGCTTGCCACACCTTTGCTGTCCGTTTTGAGGTTCGGAGACTCCACCAGCAATTTGTGTGTAGGCATGTGCGCAATCGCAGGTCCAGCGGGTGGGCTGGCTCGCTTTTGCGCTGCCCATTTTCTGGGAAACGCGCTCCGTGACCGCATAGCCTGCGGGACGCCTCGCACGCCTTTGTGTCTTTCTTAAGGCTCGGGGACCCTGTTGGCCATTGGTTGCGGCAACATTGAGGGCACACCGCCCAGGTGCGCGTCCGCAGTTGAGCTCCAGCAGGCGGGCCTGTTTGTTTTTGCGCCGCCCCACGGCTGGTTGCTCCGGAAAGGGCGTGCCGTGACCGCATCCCTTGCGGAAAGCCCGCCGCACCTCTGTTGTTTTTGTCTGAGGCTCGGAGTTCTGATCAGCCGTTTGTTGAGGCCACACGGCGGTGGGGCAGGGGGCGGGGCGGGGTGTGGTGCTTGTGCCATGGCTGCCGCAAACAAGAGCAGCATATGGGGTTCGCCTCTGGGGAATGCCAACTGGCAAGTCCAAAATTCCATGAGGCAATTTGCACCGTCCTTGACAACCCTCGGGGTTTGGCCTGTGCGCTGATCGGAGTCGCCTGTGGGGTGTCAGGGATGCCTTGAGCGCGCGCAGCCGCCCGGACATGGACCAGGAGTCCCTGGACCGGACGGCCGACGTGGTGCTCAAGGTGGAGCCCGGCGTGAAGATTCAGGCGCACTCGCAGATCCTTGCCCTCCACAGCGGCGTGTTCAGGCGCCTGTTCGCGGACCTGGGACTGGGGCAGCCCAACAAGAAGATGGTGGTGCCGCTGCACGATGACACCACAGCGGAGGAGCTCGAGGAGCTGACACGGTTCCTGTACAGCAGGGACGAGCAGCTGAACAGCGTGGGTGCATCGCCAGTGAACATTGGGCGCATTTTGGGTTTTGGGTGGGATATGGGGGTTTTGATTGTTTATCTGTGTGCGTGGGGAAGGCAGGAGTCTGGGAGTGCGCAAGTGGCAGATGGCGCTTTTGTCTGGCATAGGCGGCGAGATGGCATGACCCGGGCGGGGATTCGTTGGGTGGGTGCCTGGTGGGTGCGGCCTGCCGCGCTTTGAGGGAAGAGTGCTTGTTTGCCTCTCGTGGGGGTGTCTGCCCTCCCTTCGGCTGCCTGGCGCTTTCCAAATCACCTCTCAAATGCAGAGCAGTGTCCCAGCCACTGCGATCACAACGGTGGCGTGCAAGGCAGCGCATGTACCTCACTCAATCAGCGCATGTGGGTCACTTGTAAACGACGCACCGCTTGTACCTTCTCGCCCTTCAAGGGTGTTTGTATGCCCTTGCAGCCGACCCATGGCTTGCACCTTTCCATTCTCCAAGGGTTTTTGTGGGTCCCTTGCAGCCGACCTGTTGGATGCCTGGTTGCCTTGCAGACTGCCCAGGCCTGCCGCATGATCAGGATGGCCGACAAGTTCGACGTGCCCTTCCTGTTCACGCTCTGCGAGGAGTACATGTGTGGCCAGGGCTGCCTCCTGCACTGTGCTGGCTTCCCGGTGGGCGTGAAACTGTGGAGGAGGATCCAGAATGGCACAGTGGAGGTTAAGCGGGGGGACTGCTCGGATGCAGTTGTGTGGCTCGAGACAGCCAGCCGATTCTCTATGCACGATCTCAGGCGTAAATGCATCGTTGTTATCCTCAAGTTCCTGACGGGGGTGTCCAGCCCGCAGGAGCAGGAGGCAGTGAAGGAGGAGATGGTGAAGCAGGGCGTGCAGACTTCGGACGTTTTTGACATCCTGCAGGCGGCCCTCAAGATAACGATCAGCGGGGTGACGGTGAGCCCCTCGGGGGCCTGCCAGTGTGGGGGCACCATTTTGGCAGGAGAGAACGTGTGCTACCAGTGTGCGAACAACGTTGTGCGCAACATGCAGGTGTGGGCGGACATGAAGTAGGGGATGGAGGTGCAGACACCGGCAGGAGCAGGTTGTGAATTTCACAGGAGACTTGGGAGGGAGGGGCTTAGTGATGGCTCTGCTGTCAGTCCGGGCTTTGCCCCCTGTTGGCTGCAACGCATGCAGCCTGGGACAGGCAACTGGACTGACTGAATCCTCAGTGTGGAGTAGGTGAAAGCGCCCCATCACCTACAGGTCCCCGCATGCTGTCCACATGAAGGTGATCGTTCCCTGTGCTTGGTCCCAGTTTCCCAGAACCCTGGAATTTCATGGTGAGGGACCCGCAAACCCAGAGCCCCATAAACGAGGTGAAGCTCTATCTTGGGGGTGTTGAGGGTGGGAAATGGACACTCTTACTTCATACAGGTGCAGCTGTTGGGAAGTGTGGTTGTGGTTTGCGACTTGCATGGGGCTGGACCTTGTTCTTTGCAATGGCAGTGGAGCCCCAGGGCTGGGGCAGGAGTTTTGAAGACTTGCGGTGCTTTTGTCGCTGGTTGAGTTCTTGCAGAAAGGGACCCTAGGTTGGGCAGGTTGTACTTGTGTGGAATAGCAGCTTGGTAGTGTATATGAACGCTGTGGGAGGGTTCTTGTTTGTTTTTTTGAGAGAAGCAAGGAAACGGATGCCACTGCACTTGTTTGTGACCAGCGCCCAGCGAGGGCACGCTTGACGTGACTGGATGGTGGTGTGCTCATTGTCACTCTGCCTGGATTTCTACCTGCTGTTTGTAGTCGTTGGTTCCCACCAGAGAGGTTTCTGCGCATCTGTGTGAGCGAAGGCGCTAGCTCTCACAAGGTTGAGCTTTGCTGGTGTGGAGGCACTTTGAGCCAACAGCAATTGCATGGTTGGACCATGCATGAAAGGGTTGATGGTTGACTCGGCTACTGCTGCGCATAGGCTTGGCACTCTTTATTGGACCCAGTTCTGCTCAAGGGATGCCTGTCGTATGGATGCAGGGAGCAGACTTGAGCAACCAGAAGAGGCACCTCAGTGGGTTTCCTTGTTTAGGGAGCAGCTGCAATGATGGGGACGCTCATTGTTGTTGCACCTTTAAAGATGGAAAATTATTGAAATGTGCAATTTCCATGGTTGAAGCTGGCCACTCTTGAATTGGCTGTGCGGTTTGTCCTCTGGGGAAACCCGGCATTGCCATGGGCGCGTTCTGCACTGCCACAGGCCTGGTTGCTCGGTGGATGAGCTGGTGGGGTTGCTGTGATCCATGGAACTGCAGGCAGCGTTGATGTTGGCAATGTGGATGTGTGTCTCCCAACAAAGGCAACACATCACGGACAGCTTGAGGAACCTTGACAAATCATCACGCAGATTAACAAGAAGGAGAAGCGCAATAGAGAAAACAACAAAGGAGTTCATGGAAGGCCACCAGCTCTCTTCCCAAGAAGAGACAGCGACTTCCCCGTTTCCCACACTTGAGGCCTTCAAGACGCGAAGGGAATCTCATCGTTGTGCTATCAACATGATGTACCCAAAGTGCAAATGTTCGATGGCCATCACGTGTGACTGCCTAGTGCGGCTGGTGAGTCACGGCCACGTTGACACTTCCTAGAGAATGTGCCCAATCCAGATCCCCAAACAAAGGGATCCCAAAGACACACAACAACCCACTACTATTCCAGCTGCAAAAGCACAGGTCAGCCGAAAGCAAACTGGACTAGTACTTGGGCCGGCAATCACGCCTGTCACAGGCTGCGACGTGATTGGTACGGTGCCCCTATTTTGTCTTACTTGACTACGCCGTATGCGCTCAGAGTTCCACAGAAAACTGAGCTGTCCCTTAATGCGGGCAATTTCCCTGGCTATACCAGCCAGCTGTAAGCCTTCACCGCGCATAAACGACGGTAAATTACACCAACACTATTCACACACCCTTCTAAGCAGTCTAGCAAGACGAGCAGTAAGTATAGGACTGCAAATGAATAGGTTTGCACTGAGCAGAGTCAGGAATAGGCCACCTACAGCCTTCCAGAATTTCAACAACTGATCAAAGTCAATGAACTTGACCAGCCAGTTCTTTGGGTTGGCGCTCTGGTTATGTACACCTCCTAAGGACACTAAAATATCATCAGCATATAACTTAACGTCCAGCCTTACACCTAATTAGGACGAAAGTATTATGGCTCTATATGTATTAATTTTCAAAGAACTTTCCTGACAGCTCGTTCCAGCTTTTTCGCAGCTGACGAGCTTGTCCTTCTGTCAGAGGTGGCCTCTGAGTCTCCTGTGTGTCTTTGTACAGGTCAACCTTCACAGGAGCTGGGGGGCACTGGGATGACACGGCTTTTACCACAGGGGTTTGGACTCCGATCTCCTGGCTTAGTTTTTTTGGACTCTCCTCAGTTTGACTCATGCCTTAGAATCTCTCATTGGACATCATTTAGAGGAGAATGAGCGGGGTTTGCATGTCTCCAATTTTTGTAATAAATCCGCGCCACTTCCAATCTCTACCCTTCTCCAGTACTGGACCTTACTGAGGCAGTACTTTGTCAGCTGCTGGCTGACCCTGACCAAGCGCGGAATCAACTCAACTTTTCCTTACCTTTACTACTTACCTTCTTTCCCTTTATGTTCAATCAAACACTGACCAGCCTGTAATATGGCGAATTACCACCAGTCGCTGTCACTGACTGATCTCTGAACTGTTATAGTAGGTATATATCTTCTTGGACTCTGTACTTTAATCTTTACTACAGTACTTTAGTGGGAGCCCCGAAGGCTTCCCCACAGAGTACTGGGCTGGATCTGGGACCCCGTAGGCTTCCCCAGTGAATCCAAACCAAGGGAAGTTAGCTGAATATACAGCCGGTTTGGGGCCCCGCAGGTTTTCCCAATAGACCGGGTTGTAGTTTAGCTTGTATTCCCTTTGGTTAGACAAGAAATGAACAGAATCCAAAATTAAATTACAGTGTGATTCTCCACGAATCACGACCTGTATTACAATTATTAGTTCAGGTTCCGTTCCCAGGTTCCTTTGCCTATTGGGTCAGGAGCTGGTCGGTTCAAACTCGCTTGTCCAAAGGGGTTCCCACCCCTCTATTTATACCCCACAGCCACTGTCCCCCACTCCCAAGAGCCCCCAGAATATTCCCCCAAAGATTCCGATCATCCCCAACCAGCTTCCCTGATCATCCCTTCCCCGTCTAGTCAACTTCCCGCTCAAACCCGATCAGGCACTGATCATCATCCCAAACTTCACCAATCATTCCTAAGAACCCGTTCATATCCCCCTCATACCGTAAGGGTCAAATCAATATTCCTCTTAGTATGCCCATTCATCCTTCTCCCAGCACTACCAACCGAATTGACACATCATACCCCTTCTGATTCAACACTCAGAGTTATGATTACCTTGCTTATCAAAACATTGGACCAAATATTCAGTAGTTAGTCATCAATACCCACTTATCGCTTAACCAGCGATTCCCGCTTTATCATGCACCGTACTGCCTCATACCAGCCGGGGTATGACGGCCCAGTCATCCCCACTGCTCTCCACCAACCCTTTGGCATCGACGCTTGGATCCATGTCGGTCTCCATGTCGTCATACACCAGCAAGTCCGCTTCGTTGGCGCTGTCCTCAATCACGACGTAGCTTCTCTGCGGCTCTCCAGCGACCATCGCCACCTCCGCCTGCTCCGCGCCGACTCCAGCCGCTGCCCTTCGCCATCAGCGACGTCCTCAGCGCCTCCTGACTCTGCCCCACCACCTGCTGCCCGATCGCGCATGCCTCAGGCCTTCCACCTCCTGCGATCACCTGATTCCATCCTCGCACGCTTCCCCATGCCTCCGCAGCGGGCGCCAGCGCCTCGATCGCGCCCACCATCGCTGAGCAGGCCTTCCAATCCAGCACCTCGCCTGGCCTTCCGTCATGCCACGGACGCCAACATCCCTTGGGGCCATCGTAGGTTCGCCTGGGTATGCAAAGTCCATGCATGGCGCGACGAGTCGCAGCCATGCAAGCAGCACCGCCAGGCCACTTCGACTTCGCCATCGTCATCGTCCTAGCGCCTTGGCAGCCGCGCTATCGCAGCCACGTTCAAGTCCATCGCTGCAAGTCGCCACCATCGTGCGTGCGCCTCAGAGGCGCCCCACAGCTCGGAGTCCAAGGTTGTCGTACGACATCGAAGGCAGCTATGACACATGACACATTGCGGCAGCTGTGGGAGCGCACCCAAGGTACGGGATGGTACCCGTGCATCCGTCCGTATTGGGTTGACATGAGTGGCGTGCACTCCACTCAAGGGTGTGACGTGAAGGGTGGCGTAGGCATAGTCACACATGACAGCCCGTCAGGCTGTCATGTGAGCGACCCAACACTAAGTTCAGGTCAAGCCTGGCCCATGACGGGCATGGGCAACCTACAGCCACTTGCCATAGCGCTAAAGTCATATCATAAGACAGCATCAGGTCTATTCTTGGGGTGCCCATGGCTCAGCAAATTTGCACCCAATCCCAGCAACGCGTCACCGTCAAGGCAAGCTATTCCAGGCAGTTGAAATCTCGTTTTAACAAACTACACACCACATTCCGTCAAGGCCTTTCCCTTTGCTGTCATACGTTCTTGTTCATCGTATTGACATTGTCCTACGTCTATTTCAGGGAGTAAATTTTACAGGATGCCATCACAAAACTAACAATAATGTGCATCCACGCATCTACTGGAGCAGATTACCCTCATTATTATCGTTAAGCTGATTCATACACAACGGATCAGTGGATCGGTGGGCATACATCTATTCCCATTATCAAGCTACTGTCAAAGCTCTTTATCCGAAGCACCTGAAGTTCCATTCTTTTCTTTTATGCGCCGTTGCTGATCATGGTACACTATCACCATTAATTACTCTGTTTATCCTTGGTTATATCGTCATGTACCATCTGTATCCCCTTTCTTTTCTTCAACCGTAACAACCTACTATTAGCATGGAAGCTAGCCGGGGCTGTCATCAAGTTTTGGTATTCACCCTTTTCAGTTATGTTAGTTTATAAGCGGCAGAATCCCTTTAACTGTTTCACAGCCGATTAATGGCATGCTCAAAGGGCAACTCTCTTTATCCAGTTTTTGCCCATGTGTCCTGTGGATATCCCTCGGCTGAACGCCTCAAGGCGGCCCATTCACGCACACAGCCAGTTATCCTCCTTTGGCCAAATCCTTATGCAGATTACACTTACAGGGCTCAACACCAGGCAGTCGTCAAACACAAATCCTCAGATCTGCTTAAAATTTGAAGCAACTTTTGTCCATCAAATCCAGTTTTCTGACGCTGTCTTTTTCAAGCAACAATCCATCGCCTTCATGAAAAGCTTCCAGCAGTTATGCATAGGAACATTCAAGCTTCGGCCGAGTGTTATCGATGACCTTCAGCGCATCCAGAGCTGAGCAGCCACTTAGGAACTGTGGCATGCAATGTTCCCTTGGTCTTTCCCCTACAACCATTTTCCAGGCAGCAAGTTAGACACCATAAACTGTAATGATATAGCAAGCCTTTGATATTTTCTTGATATGCCGGTTGCATAGTGGCTCTCCCTTGTTCTTTTTGTGAACGCATATCTGTTTTTTCTTTGCTGGCTTCCTTTTTTCTTTCTTGTTCACCCTGACTGGTTGTTTGATAGTGGCCCAATCAGCTGCCCCATGTCGGTCATGAGCCTGCCTATGATATGCCGGTGCTCATGACTAACGGCAGTTTTAACACAAACAGAACTGGAAATCATGGACAATGCTCCGCGAAGTAGGGTGCTGATGGCTGCGTCCTTGACTCGATACGTAAGATTTCTAGATGATTATGGCGACAAGCAGGGCCATCACACACAGTCGCTCGAGAAGCAAGGCCGCAACCAGATGCGTTACAGAACAAGCACAACGATCAAATGGAGCTCGCCGCAAATGTTCCCAATTAGTAAACACCGTCTCTATGCTCATTTCACCATCTTTAACACCGTGTTCACCACGTCCAGCCACATTCAACACCACTCCCTTCACAATTGCTTGTCATTTTCCTCGTCCTTGCAATGAAGATGACAATCCAGAATTGTCATCATCATCATGATCATCATCATCATGATCATTGACAGGATAACCGAGAGTTCCTGCTTGCTCACGCACGGTCGCTCCCAGGCACGAGAAGCGAGGCCGCAACCAGATACATTACAAGATGATTGTACTAGCTAAATAACAGTCACCGTAATAATGTTCGTCTCCCATCTCCATTGTCTCCATGTGCATTCACCATAACACCATAGTCAACACCTTTACTTGCCACCATAGAAAACACCATATATCACATATTATATATTAACCACTCCCTCGCCCTCACACGCTTCCCTGCGCCAAACACCATCCCCCTGTTTTTTCAAAATGCATCTCGGTACGGCCGCAACATATCCGTGTGCCTAACCCACATCTTCCCCTCCGGACCCCGTACTTCCCAAACTGCATTCATTATGGGGCGAATTAATTGTCTTGGACCCTTCCACCACGGTTCGAGCTTGTCCTTCAGCGTTTCGACTTTTGTGTTCCACAGCCACACCCGGTCTCCTGTCCTAAACGTCTGTTGGATGCGTCGTCCCCTCGTTCTGTGGTTTGCCTTCTCGCGTTGTTGCCGCGCGTACTCATGCAATCGCTTCCACACGGCCCGTGAACTATTCCACAACTGATTCGGTGACCGGAATACGAAAGAACTGGGAGTCCTCTTACTCTCTTCTGGCGAAGAGAGGGGTATACTATTGTAGATCTCCACCGCCCGCTCGACCGTCTTGGCAAAATACTTGGGCTCCTCTGCCCACATGCGTCTCAAACGGTTCAAAAGTGTTTGATTGAACCGCTCTACAAATCCAATGGATGAGTGATGGTAAGGGGGAGAGTATTCTTACACCACTCCCTCCTGCGCACACCATCTCTCCAACTCCTTGGATTGTGTGGCCTTGCAAACATCAGAACACAAGATTGACGGTGTCCCCTGTATTTGTGTCCATTTCTTCAGCCCCCGCACAATGTCTGCCCCTGTTGCCCCTGTTACTGCCCATGCTTCCGCCCGTCTGATCAACATGTCCACGATGACAAGAACAAACCGCTTCTTTCCCACTTTCCTTTCTGGGAATGGTCCCATAAAATCCAAGCCAATAACTTGACCCGGTCTCTCTGGCACATGCCAACTGCCGAACGGATTCGATGGTTGCGGTTGATGGAACAACTGGCACTCTCTGCATGACCGCACCCTATCCGTTACCCATTGCCATGTTGGATGCAGACCCATTTGGCAAAAGCGAAGATACGT